ACGAGGGACATAAAGGCTGGTGAGGAGCTCCTTATAGACTATGGGGCGACCCAAAAGGCTTATGGGCTCTCCTGGCTAGACAGCTAAACTCAGCTTCCCCACTCTTAAGTTATTTTTGTGTGTGTGTTTTTTTCGTTTTTTTTCTGCAGACATTGCACTGGTTGCATTTTTTGTTATTTTTTTTATATATTCTCGCTTGTTAAATCATTTTATAAATAAACAGTTTTCGGTTCTACCAGTTTCTCCTAGTGTCTGCTATGCAACAAACTTGGGTCTGGAACAGCCTCCTTTGAGACCTTCTTCCTCAAACTGACCAATCAAAGGCCTGCGTGGACGGGTTTTGCAGGTTGAGTGATGTGCAGCCCCCCAGAAGCACTCAGCCAAATATATTAACGTGGATGCCATTACGGAGCATCCATTTGATCTAGTGTGCTTTTCCGGTGTTTTAAAAGTCTCCAGGTGAAGCTAAACATTATAAATAGCAGCAAATGCTGCTGTTTATATAAATAGCAGCATTTGCTGCTATTTATATATACAAAAGAATTCAATTTAGAATTTGTAGCAGAAACAATAATTTTTAACTCAGATTTAAACTCATTTAATGCCAACATTTTTTTGTAGATGAGGTGAAATATTTCTCACCAAGCTCAGGCGAACTTATGGAACAACCCACTGAACATTTATCGGTCAGAGATGGGATGAGGCCAACATCCAATCAGCTTCAATAAGGGCTCCAGACACACGACGGGAAACAAAAGCATATAAAGCACAACATCATCGACATCAAATAATGGTAAGAAATACTGCTCTGCCAGTTTTTGTTTTATAGGGATAAAAAAACAAAGTGTTTTTTGTAATAGGATCCAACTTAATGTTTCAGTTTTCTGAAAATATACTTAATGTTTTTACTAACATTTAAGCTTATGGATGCTAGACATTCTAGATATTTATTAGTTCAATCTTTATTCAAAAATGCTAATTTTGTCGATCTTGGAGTAGTGAAAAACATGTTTTGTCAGGCAGCTGCAAATAAGTTCCTGTATTTAATCAAAGACAGACTGAAGATATTAGAAGAAAACTTTAGCCAAAATCCAAAAGTTCTCCTTTAAAAGCTGGTTGATTATTTGTGATTATTTTAAAGCTCATAGAGCATTAAAAGTTAAAGAACAGCTGGAATTGATATTTAAATCTGATGTTTTCTATAGTTTGGACTCTTACAACCACAATCTTTTATGTACTTAAATGATTTTATTCTGAGAGACCAACATACAGCTGGAACCCAGCTGGGACATCCTGTTCATTGATGGATGAAACCAGAAACACATGGATTTCTGTGGAGAACATGCAAAGCCCTCATGGAAAGGACCTGGTAGGGATTTGAAGTAAGAACTTTCTGGGAAGCAACAATAGGAGACAATTGAGGGCTAAAAGGAGACAGAAATTATAACCCAAGCTGTCTCTTCTGTTTGTTTCTATTTATTTACACCAACAGAGGGGATGATTTAAACCTCCACATCTCTGTGGAAGCTCTTCAGCTCAGCATGCAGTCTTTACCTCCTCAGAAGGGAGAGTCTCAATTTTTTTGACGATCCCATTGCCACATAAGTTAAATGTCTAATTCCTCTTCAGCTGTTTCTGTCACTTATGATAATTTGCTTCTCATTTGGAGATTACAAATCCAGAGAGTAAGCATTAAAACTGCAGTACAAATAGTCAACATGGCGTCAGGGACACAATGAAGGAAATATGGGATGAACTATTAAAATTTCTAAATAGAACGGCCTGGAGAGAAGTGGATTAACATGAGAAGGAGCAAAGAGATCCATGGCAGAGGAGGAGCTGCTGAAACCTACATCTCAGGTGGGAAACCTGTAAGAAAGAACATTACTTCACGAAACGCCTTAGTAGGAATAAAATAACCAAATTGTCTTGATAGAAAGCCACTCTTTACAGCTTACTCTTTGCTACAAGCCATGGAGGAGACCCAGTGAGGATTTGAAAAACTCTGCTCTGGTCAGATGGACTAAATGGAACTGTAAGGCAGGTCATCACTTCCAACCCTTGGGGACTAGAGTTCTGCAGCTTTAGATGTCTCTACTTCCACATCCCCCTGGTATAAGGTGACTTTATTTCTGAAAATAAAATCTGGCGACATTTTCGAAGTTCATGCACCAGTCCATGCTCAGAAATCACAACCGTAAACTTATAATAACTCTACTTATATTAATAAAACATCCATCCATCCTTCCTTCCTTCCTTCCTTCCTTCCTTCCTAGTCCTGTCAGGATTACGGTGGGGCCAGTAACTATCTCTGGCATTCTACGGGCAGGATACACCCTAGACAGGTCATCAGTCCTTCGCAGGGCTCACTAAATATCTGAAGATATACACTCACCTGCCACTTTATTAGGTACGCCATGCTAGTAACGGGTTGGACCCCCTTTTGCCTTCAGAACTGCCTCAATTCTTCGTGGCATAGATTCAACAAGGTGCTGGAAGCATTCCTCAGGGAGTTTGGTCCATATTGACATGATGGCATCACACATTTGCCGTAGATTTGTCGGCTGCACATCCATGATGCGAATCTCCCGTTCCACCACATCCCAAAGATGCTCTATTGGATTGAGATCTGGTGACTGTGGCATCAACAACGCATTTCCGCCCACAGAACTGCCGCTCACTGGATGTTTTTTCTTTTTCGGACCATTCTCTGTAAACCCTAGAGATGGTTGTGCGTGAAAATCCCAGTAGATCAGCAGTTTCTGAAATACTCAGACCAGCCCTTCTAGCACCAACAATCATGTCACGTTCAAAGTCACTCAAATCACCTTTCTTCCCCATACTGATGCTCGGTTTGAACTGCAGGAGATTGTCTTGACCATGTCTACATGCCTAAATGCACTGAGTTGCCGCCGCGTGATTGGCTGCTTAGAAATTAAGTGTTAATGAGCAGTTGGACAGGTGTACCTAATAAAGTGGCTGGTGAGTGTAAACTGAAGGTCACCAGTAATGTCTAAAACATCTTTAGACGAACCCTTGTTGATCCCTGGAGAACCACAGTACCAGATTAGCACCTTACAAAGAGATTTTAATCTTTCTGTTATAATTTATCAAAATATCATGCCAGCTGCAACCCTCTGTCTTGTCTTACTTTTTGTTGATTAGCTTGGTTTATGGCACATTTTGCATCATCTTGCGTTGACAATCAAACAGACAACAGTGTTAAGGTGAGAAGGCCTTCTGGAGCTGAGACATGAGCACCAGGGAATCAGTGAGAGAAAGTCCCCTGAGAGAGAACCAGAACGGGGACGAGGCAGCCGACTGTGTCCCCCTCTGGAGCTAAGGAAACACAGCAGGAGAGAACCACAGAGAACAGGGGTATAGGGGGAAGCCTGCTGGGCAAACAGTGCACCAGAGCGGCAGAGTGTCGTTGCTAGTCTCCTGAGGCTAAATGTATGAGGAGGAAGGACAGCTGAGAATCAGAGGAGCCTTCAACCAGACAAAATGGGGAGAGAAGGGTGGCCCATGTCTGAGATGCAGGTAGAATGAAGCACCAGTCCTTCTTAGGCTAAATTAAAACGACTTTTTAAAAGTTAACCACTACCTACATTATTTTGTCATTGTCTCTGTTGCATCCTTTACTAAAACGTGTTGTTTATCATGTCTTCATTTTTAGACTTAATAACGCAATGTTATTGTACATGAGATAACATTTTAGAAGGATTTCTGGATTTAATCCTGTGATCAGTGATCAACAATATCGGGATCAGCAGATGGAGACCCTGGTGTGTTAAAGCGGAGAAACACCTTAAGGAGCAGGACACCAAACCTCCAGGCATTCTGACTAATAACCAAAACTGCAGATCAACATAAAAAAATCAGGCAAGATGATGGCAGCTGCATGATGTGGGAGTGTTTTTTTTTAGCAGAGACAGGAAGCCGAGCTGGACCTGAAACACTGGAAGAAAAGCTGTTAGAAGCGTCATGCTAGGGTCCACAGGACACGCTCACTGGTTTGTTTCAAACAAGTCAAAGTCTTCATCAGAACCTGTTTGCATCCAAACTCTGTCCCACTGACCTTAATGACTATAAACTGTGACTCAGAGAGCAATGGATAGACGTCTAGAAGCTCAAAGCTGGAAGAGAATCATCCTGAAGACCGACTGCCATGACAAAAACACGAATTTTCATTTAGCTTGTTTTTAAAAACCATGGACCTGTTTCTAGCATTCCAAAGTCATCCAAAGCTATCTACTGATTGGTTATGTAGGATATTAAGGAAAAGTGCTGCTGATTTTATCTGCTCTCCGTTGATGAGCTGCTGCAGTTTTTGTTTTTGTCAATTTTTTCCACCTGTAACTTCTGAGATCACTTCCTACATTGTTCTGGTTTCACTGCGGGAATCTAAGCAGCCCAATTTTTGTTATTTGTTTTCCTGATGGAGAGGGGAAAGGGAGGAGTGATGGTAGGGCGAAGGGGGGGCTGCCCGAAAGGGAGGGGAGATGGATGTCACAAATCAGAGGAACCCCGCTGCTGTGTCTGGATGCAGCAGTGGCTGCGCAGTAAGAGAGGGAAGGGGTGAAGAAGCGTTGCAGAGTTTTTGCCTCTCTGGCTGTGTAGCTCTGAGCAGCAGCCCTGGGTGCCCCCCCACTGTCAGCCCCAGATTGATGGATAGGACTGTGCATCCCACAAAACATCATTCTCTCCTGCTTTCTATTTTATTCTGAGCCGCACTCCCTCCTCCCTCTCTTTCTCCTCCATTGATGCTGCTCCAGGTCCCTCGCTGGGCTCTCTCTTCCTGACTTGTTTCCACAAGGCTTCCTCAGAGCCGACAGAGAGCATGCTGTGAAGAAGCGCAAAGCAAGGCGACAGGATTGCTATTTTTGTGAAAGCTTCTCTGTCTGGCAGGGAAGGTGAGAGCCGCAGAGCTGGACTGGACAGGGGTTTTCCGTGGGAGTGGAGGTGGAGCAGGGGGGAGAAGTGAGGAGCCGGTTGGACAGATGGAGGACGGTGGTACCCAGCACCTGGGATGCTGCGTGGTTGACATGAAAGAGCTGAGTGCAGACCCCGAAGGACTGAGTTCTGCTGGTGAGCTGCCTGCCCTGTGTGTCTATGGCTTCTTTCCTTTCTGCTTCTTTCTTATAATTGTACTGGCTCTAGTATCGCTTGTTCAGGCGTGTGTGTGCGTGTGTGTGTGTGTGTGTAAGCTCCAAACACACTAATACAACCTGAGCAAATCTGTCTTTGGCAGTAAAACAATTGACGTTTGTATTAATCTATAATATAATTAGTTTATTGCAGCAGCCAAACTGTTTGACCAAAGTCATACATCAGGTTTGTAGATCATTGCTGATAAAAACTTTCACTCCCTGTTAGATTTTGGAGCTCGGCTTCATGTTGCTTCTTTTGCAGAGTCATGTTGATGTTGCGCTTTACCTCTGGTTAGAACAGAGCTGATTAAATGGGTGAAGATGGTTTACCAGGTGTTTAGCAGAAGAAGTCTTTCATTGGCATAATAGAAGATTGTTCCTTTATTTTTCTTACAGTATTTGGCTGTAAGGAAATATCTGAATTTCATTGTGCTGAAAAGTTTTCTGTTTTTAGCTTCATTCGATGTGGAATATATTTGTGCTGTTGCAAAGGGACTAAAAGCAATATATTCATTGCTGTCTTTATATATTTGGGATTCTGGCATTTGTCCACCTGTACACCTACTGCCTCTACTGTCTCTTTAAATCAAGAATAAAAACACATTTGTTTAGGATTGCCTTCTACTCTAGTTAAACAGTTCAACTGAAATATCATTAGTTCAACTTTTTTATTTTCTTTAGTCCAACTGTTTTTAATATTGTTTTTTGTTTCTGCATTTTTCATTAATTTTTTTCCTACTTGCTTTGATTCTGTTTTATTTTCCTATATTTTAATCATGTAAAGCACTTTGCATTGTCTTTGTACTGAATTGTGCTATACATATAACTTTGCCTTGCCTTGCCTTTAAAGTGGCTTGCATTATCCTTCATATGCATGAACTTGTCACCAGATCTCCCGATTGAATTTAGGTAAACGAAAGTAATCTATAGTGAATCTTTTTTTTTTTTTTTTATTTAAGGAAGATATTTATAAAGAATATGTGACAGATTGATAATAATAATTGAACGTTATTGAGCTCACACTGGAGAAATTCACCTCTGCATTCAACCCATCCCCTTGGGGAGCAGTGGGCTGCCATTGTGTGGGACCCGGGGAGCAGTGTGGGGTTAAGGGTTTTGCTCAGGAACCCAGAGTGCAGGCTGTGGGGATCGAACCGGCTACTTCTAACCTCCTCAGAGCGCAAGCGAACTGCTTTAACCCCTACCCTGATTATGTACAAATAAAAATAAAATAAATAAAGTCTAAGCTTTCCAATGAATAGTCAGGAGGTTGGTGATAAATGTTTGTGTCTTTTTAGAACGCTGGTATGAATGGGCCAAAATTTTGTAGGAGGTTAGGGTGAGGTGTTACTAGAGGTTGTCACTTCAATTCCTTAGTCTGTACCCATCAAGTCTTATGCCTTGAAACCTCCTGATGTAATGGACCTAGGAAGAAAAAATATTTAATTCTGATCATGTTTTTTATTTTCAAGTGTGCACAACGTAGTATATATACAGACAATGCAGTTTCCCGAAAAGTCTGGATCACACTGTCACAGTATCATCTCTTATAAAGAGCTCTCCATAACTTTGCAGCAATTTTTTGTAGAAAGTGAACCTCCTACATATACTAGTTTTAAAGTTTGCGGTTCTGGACACAGCTATTCTTTGTTTGTATTTTCTTCTTTCTTACCCAGCTAAGGAAAGGATAATGACCATCTCTAAACATTGGTTTTAAGGTCTTAAAATTTTTAATAGATACTATGTCTAAGTTTTGGCTGGACCATTTTAACATTATGACCTTGTAGCTTTGCACCCATCTTCCCAGTAACAAATAGGGGGAAAAAATGATTCCCCACTGCATGAAGCTGCCTTCACACTTTTTAGATTTTTATTTAGGATTCTTGAAAGGCAAGCCTGTTTTTTTCTCTTTCTTTAAATTTGTATGCTACTTTGAGTTGATCTTTGGGAAAAAATAAGATGTGCAGTGAGAGAATTCCACAAGGATCTAAGGGGAGTGCTTCTTGTGTCTCTGCTGAGCACTTTTGCTGCAGTCTGTCTATTGCTATCTTGGTCCATTGTCCTTAAATACCAGCAGAGCTGAACAAGCCTTACTTCTCACCACTAAGAGAAATGACTGGGCAAGTTGTCCTTATCAATTATGTCAGTCAGCCTGATTCTCTGCTTTACAAAAGGATAGCCATTGCATGCTGCAGACCCTAGAAGGACATTTTAATTTTAAGTTTTAATCATTTAAAAAGAGCTGCCAATCAAGAGAGAAAGGAGAAGAAATGTTTCCCTGTCTCCCATAAGCTACAAAGAAGCTACGGCTGGATGCAAAACCTAAGGTCTGACCCCTGCATTCACAGAACAGTATTCAACCTTCAATTAGAAATCCCAAGGACAACGTTTATCAGTTTTATATTCAAGGGTGAACTGGCAGAACTGTCAGCTGTCCTAAGATAGGATCCCAGCTGGGCCTTCTCCCACTACCATTACAAGACATACCAGTACATTGGGGTTGGTAGACTCTGCAGTATGGATAAAATAGTGGCCAGTTTAGTTTCTAAATTCATAGACTCAAGTCAATATGTGTAATTTAAGTTAAAATTGCAAGATGCAAAGTAAGAATTTTGTAAACTACAAGTAGAAATCACAGATTTCTGAGAACAAATGTCTTACACCTGATTAAGCTGGTACATTACCAGTGTATTCTCATTATGAGTTCGTATGAAATTGTACGAAAAGTTATGCACCGTAATTTTGTACGTTTTGTACGTTTTTTTCGTCGTATGCGCATCTGACGCACCATTCACAAATATAGGATATAAATTACAATTAGCCCTAACCCTGACCCTAACCCTAAGATATAAAACAGTAAGCAACGTAGTTAGAGACATGAATAAGTGATGATTGCACTGTTTTTCCTAGTTTTACGTCCGTCCGCGGATCTGCTTTTTTTTTTCTGTCTGCCAGCGCATGCGTACTGATGTGGTTTTTTGAGGAAACACGTCCAAAACGTACGAAATAGTGTGCATAACTTTTCGTACGATTTTATACGAACTGATAATGAGAATATGTTGTACATTCCTCACCAGATGGTGGCACTAATGCATGTAAACATTGTTCGGCGGTCAGTTCCTATGACAAGCAGAAACAAGAAGACAAAAACAAATCCTTCTCTTGTACATTCGATTTTTTGCTGAAATTAGATTTTCCAGGCATTCGCAGCATAATGCTGATTCTATGGTTCTGTTTTTGTCGTCTTCCACTTCTGGTTTTATTGCAGTTTCCTAACTATAGTGAGGAGTGTAATGCTGTATACACAGTTAAATTGTTTTTTGAGTCAAAAAGGCATCCAACACTCCATCTTGAATGCTTCTCCAAATTGAAGCAAGGCGGATATTGGGTGCGTATTTTCGATGCAATTAAGAGTGGCCTTGCTTTATTTGCTGGGATAAATAGGAAAAGGTATTTTCAAGATGTTCTTATTTATTTAATTTTTTTTGCTTTTTTGTGTCCTGTTTAGCCAATATAGCTCTGGGAATAGATGTCACAGCTGTAGATGATAGCCCAACAGCTTTAGTTTCACAAGCAAACCGGCATGACTGGTGCCATAAGGTTCCTCTTAATGCTTGTATGTTTAACTTTATTGAAAATTATGTGAGGATTAAAATCATATGCGGACAAGGAAAGGGAGGTAAGAAAGAAAGACGGGATAAAAACTAAAGGGTAGAGAGAAAGGGATAGAGACAGGAAAGAGCGAATGAAAAGAAAAAATAACATAAAACAGCAGGAATACACCTCAAATGTTATCCACGCAGCGCAGACATCAAGATTATAATCCTAGTTTTAAATAGTTTATTTATTTTTGGTGTTAAAAACTTCAGCTACCAGATAAAAAAAACGAAGAAATTGTTTGGTCAAGTTTTGTTATTTTAAGTGGAAATTCATAAGCTGTTTTGCCACAGTCCAGTAATATTATATTTTATAGGACTTTTATGTAAATGTAGGGGAGTTTAACACTTTTAAATATATGTTTTTGTTTGCTTTTTATGGTTTTATGTTGACAGCTCTGCAGCAGCAGAGATCGCAGCTTGGATGCAGTGTCTGTCTACCTGCCAGCTCCTAGATCAGCCTCTCTGTTTGGTTGACATGCTGCATTGAGCAGCAAAAGTTAAGATTTTTTAAAATTGAGTGTCAGACACTTTGAAGGCACTTAAATGCAAATGCTTGGAAGCTCAAAATGAGCTCAAAAATCTCCCTATTTGAAAGCAGCTTAACTTTTACATGAGGGGTTTGAGATTTTTACTTGTAAAGTTTTAATTTGTGTGTTTTGAGTTTGTGATCTGTACTAAAAGAGCTTTAGTTTGTTGTTTAAGTCTTGCTATTGAAACTAAAATTTAAACTTTTTATTACTTGTATTTCTAACTTCTGAACTTGTATTCAGACAGAAGAAAAAGATATCAGATCTATACGTATCTGTGTTGAAAAAAAATGAACAGATACAAATCTGAAATCTGAAAAACAAGAAAGAAATCAGGCTGCTGAGCTCCCTGCATCTAAAATATTGACTTTTACAAATTCAGACTTCTAAGCAAATGTTTACATTGACAGTTATCTTACGCCGTACTGCAGACTCATATTCCAGTTGTCTGGTCCTACCAGCTGTTTCATTAGATGTTTCATACATACAGAATATAATCAACATAAGTTTTCCAAATATAAACACACATGTGGTTTAGCCTGAAATGGTAGCTCTATATGCCATCGTTCATTTAAATGTTTTATTAAATTAAACACTGATTAAAAGTTGTTTTAGTTATAAGCCAGTTGTATATCTATTTGATAATAATGAAACATTTTTTTAAATGTGACCAAATATTAGAGTCGCAGCTACTGGACATTTTGCCCACTGTGAAGTACAGTGGGGGATAAGAGGGTCTGTGGGCCTGTTTC